TGTGTGTGTGTGTGTGTGTGTGTGTATAGTATACTATATATATATATATATATATATATATATATATATATATATATATATATATATATATATATATATACCTTCGTGCCTCCTCATCTCATCTTCCATCTCCATTTGCATCTCAAACTCTGCTTCATGGTCCATTTCCCACTGTATGCGTTCAATCTCAGCCAACTCGGCATCTGAGGGTTCCATGTTGACGGTTTATGTCGATCTGAATCGCTATCTATAGCTACGAGTATTGTGTATACGTAGCTATAGAGTACACGTAGCTATAGAGTCACGTAACTATAGGTCACACGCAACTATAGGTCACACGTAACTATAGGTCACACGCAACTATAGGGTACATGTAACTATAGAGTACATGTAACTATAGAGTACACGTATGGGTCTTCTATACGCCGAAGTAACGTAAACACGTAATTACAGTAAGAACGTAGGCGCGGTATACACGAGTAAGTAAATAGAAGTTTCTCGTCCACTAGTTATGTGGTATGTTTGTAGCGTGTATGTCTAGTAATCTAATAAATTATATTGTATGTGATTCTTATATATATTAACGGGGTTAGTTTCACTCTGAGCAAGAACAATAGCTGTCTGTGTCTATACTATACTTCAATGTAGCCATTCCACTTATCTGACTCTGAGGTGACATATACTTCCTGGCTTTAAATCAGCATGTAAATATTCTATATTGAAATACCATCGTTTGTGGTTAGTAGGTGCCTTGGTGGGGGGCCTATAATCTATAATATGGGGTATGTAATCACTTTTTGCAAATTGCTATGAATAGGCTTCATAGTGAGATCGGATTGGCTGATACAGAAAAGGGCGGGCTCACCTATGGCTTATTTGGTGGGGGTTTTCACTTTGTAAATAGTATTTAGTCATAGAGTTGTTTATGCATTAGATATCTAAAAATAGATTGAATACGGTAATAGCTTTGATGTATGCACAATTACACTGATATATAATATGTAAATATACAATATACATACGTTCGTACTATTTGAGTTAGGTCTCTAAGTACTATATATACATAGCTGACTAAAAGTAAGTGTAACCAGTTGGCTATGGTAGCCTATAACTTGTACATTTGATTATTAAGCGTTGTTCCGCAAATTTGCATATTGAAGTATCGTCTATTAAGCTTAAAGTCAACTATGTATGCAAACATTTAAACCACTGCATTGCGAACCAAAAACGGTGTGGCACGTGACTGAGAACAATACTACAACATAAATATTAGTTCGGAGTTGATGATCATATACAATGAGGTGATAGTATTCCTTCTCACGTATATGTCCAGAATATGCTTTGACTATGAATGTTATGTGTAGTCCTGGTTGCCAATAAAATAAGCTACGGCAATAAACTGGAGGTACACATCGAGGTCTTGTCGTATATGATTTTACTACCGATGCTAAGATATTGATACCAATGGTATAGTAATCAACGTAACGTACGAATGCATTTCACAATGCGACACAAAATGGTTCACAATGTTCTTTGAAGCACGTCCCTGATGGTAAAGTCAAGCTATTTGCAGCGCACAACTACACATTAGAAACTGGTGCATCAGTCTCCGTGGCTTTCAGATAAAATGTTTCTCCTACTACTGGCGCTGTACGTGAAGCTTGTGATTGCGGTATTGTCGAGAGCTGTTCAATTCACCCCCATCCCGTGCATATTCTTCCTTACCGAAAGTACCCGTACAGGCCGAAGTAGTACAGTGCAGTGGCAGTAGCAGTTGGTTATATAACATGCCTAAAGAACATGACATTTTATGTAGTGTCGGGGGGCAGGAGGCTGAGAAGAATATGATGAGGTAGCAACTACGGGAGGTGTGTTCGCTATATGTTTTCTTGTTTGGTTTGAAGTATCGGATGCATTCAGTTCACTCTGGACAGTAGTATGACTTATCTATCAACATTGGCAGAAGGAATCGACTTGTATGAGGAGGCACATAGCATTGCATATACCGTGGTAGATCAACCTTACGTTTATGCCCACTATATACAACAAGTGGACAGGTCTGTTCTCCACACACAAGCATACGTTCATACTGAGATTTCCTTTAATTACATATGTTGTGTACGCGCACTGTGATAACCACCGTCCACGCGCCTGAGCTCAATGCACGTCTGATGCCGCACGCTTCTCCCACTGTCCATCTTCTCAGTTATGCACAGAAGCCTAATTACCACCATATACATATATGCTTCCAAATACAATCACACAAGCGTCGAAAGAGGCTCCAGCGGCAGACATATGTACAGGGCTCTTGGAATACGGTCTTTTCGTCATGCGGGGTTGTTCCTAGACTCCAGTATCTGGTATCGACACAATTCACCGCGTCTGCTATTCCCTTCTTCAGTGCAGTGGCGTGTTCGATGGACCTCGTGCGTTGCCATGGGAACCGTTGCAAAGTTAAGCAGTCCTCGGGATCCTTCAAGCTACATCGCCAATAGTAGAGGGTTTCAAGATGAGCATACAACCAATACTATATGGCTTTAAGCACAAGTTTGGCAGAAAGAGCACAGATCATTTCCTGAAAATCATACTATGAGTTCCTAATATACTCATAATATACTCATAATATACTCACAATATATATATATATATATATTTATATATATTTATATATATGTATATATATATATATATATATATGTATGTATATATATATATATAACTAAACACAACCAACAAACACAACCACACACAGTACAATAC